TCTTTCATGATAAGGGGTATAAGTGGGTGGCCTTCCAAGCTGTCTGCAAAACCTAGCAGTCAGATTATTTATTCCTAAGCTTCAGCATCATAAATAGGAATGCTTATTTTGGGCTGAAACGGTTTATAGCTGAATGAGTATTTACCTGTTTGGCGTCTTAAACTTTATCTCATCGTCTTATGCCTAGAAATAGCTAGGTATCACCTATTTTATATCCTGTATTCAGCCTTATTAGGACTAATCAGTGGATTTGCTTACTTGTTCCGTCTATTGAGCAAGTAAATAAGGAAGTAAGTAAATAATTTACCAGGGGAAATCTATGCTTGAAATGATCCGAACAAGTCGTTGTCCTTGAACTGGGTCCTTGAACTGCGAAAGCACAATGGGAATAGTTGTGAGCTGCTGGTTGTACAAAGCGCAGCAACTGGTGATTGTTCACTCCTGTGGACTGGGAAGCCCTTAACAGCCTTAGATAGGCATGGTTTCCCCGACCGTGGCCCAACGCCTAAAGCTTCTACTTTACCCTTTGACTATTTTGTTATAAATCGGCCAAGCCGAGTATTTTATGTGTTTTAATATGAAAATTGAGATATCATTTTTTCAAGTTGGCTAGGAATCTACAACAATTAGAAACTGGTAACCAAGAGAAATCGAAAGTCAGAACTCCGGTAATTTTTTATGCTATGACGGTTGAAAACGGTCACATGGATTAGACCATTCTCTGTAAATTTGCGTCATAACGAAGAAAATGTGTTCATACAGGCCGCATGACTTTCTTATTAAATAATTAAATATTTCTTTCTCACCTAGACAGGACCGTTAATTGGGAAATTAACAATTTGCGAACATTTTCCGCTTTTTATATAACCATGAATACATAATAAGAGGTTCACAGATATTGATTATCGTAAATACGTGAGGATATGCTTGTTGGTGTTGGAAGTACAGAAATTATTTTTTTATTTTTTTATATTTTTTAAAAAATTCCCATGCATGAAATTTGAGTTCTTATAGATTACGGTAGAGATACATTGATTACAGTGTACTGTAATACCGTAATCATTGCTGTTTAGGTTGGATGTTTCGCTCGGTTGGGTATCTACGAAGAAAATGCTCGATTCATTTTGATCTCATTACTACTTGTACTCTATCTCAACATAGGCGCCTTCTTGTTTCATTATGTGGAACGTGAAAATGAGATTGAAGAACGAAAACAGGTGCGTTTTGATTTGACATTGATCGATTGATATTGATTTTTGGGACAGTCTTCGGATCGAATCTAGTGCAGCCAGTGCTCTTCACTTTTAAGAATTTTTTCTAACATTAACCGATTTCAAATATTTTATGGGGGAAGAGTCGATTTTTGTACGGGATTCATGGAACTTCCAAAGAGCCTGTCTATTAAATCAGCTGCTTCCATCTTTTTCCTATCGCATTCGATCTTGAACCTAGGTTGTCAGCAGCTTACCTACAGCACGCTTGGCCCTCATTTATTTAATCATTAAAGTAACAAAATTAAAATGAGGGTTTCAGGTACTTGAGTATTGTTTCAGAAAGATTTAAATATCAAAGTCCAATCTGCAAAGAGTTTCTAGTGATCATCAGAGGTCCAATGCACGAAAGCATGCAGCAAAAGCAAAGCAGACGGCGATTAAGTCCATCCTATAATTTGTGTGTCTGGAATAGCTTTTCCTTTTTGAACGACCCGAACTTTAATACTTCAAAGCGGAACGTAGAAGAATTTACATGGCGGTAATGTGAAAAAATATTTTGGATGCTTACAATGCCCTATAAATAATAGAAATATGATAAAAATGTTTATACAAAAGTCGAGCACTTTGAGCCAGACTCTATACATCGGGTGGCAAAAACGTCAGTCGATTTCGAAGTGATCCTGAAAGAAATAGCATCCTTACACTTCATGATTACAGATTTTTTTGGTTCTTATCAAGATCTTATTCCTTTAGGTTTGGAGGGCTTACTGAGCTCTATCAAAAATCTGCAATTTCGAAAAATTATAGAGTCCTATCCCTGCAGTTTGTATATTCTCCAGGCTTCTTTATGAGTTCTAGTAAAAAAATTAACCGACTTTGATTATTTAACTATTAGCACAATTTTAGTAGACTCGAAAATCATCCCCTGATTGACTTGAACGGGGAACTTGCAAACCATATGGTTGCAAATAACTGTTGGTGATCGAATTATCTTGAAAAAAAATTCGCTGAACCTTTTATAGTAGGGCGATTCCTTAGTGTAAATCCTGATGTTTTGCTCGATGCAGTTTTTCCAAGAAGATAATCGAGTAATTTCTGTCGTTATTCCTACTCTCCTCTCCCCTTTTGGTTAGTATGCTACCATTTTTGGGTTGCCATCCAGCTAGAATTGACGTAGGATATGATAACCTGGATTGTGAGTTGGTGTTATTACACTTTCCCACGTTATAATTCAATCCCAGACAAACTTCTGATTCAATGTTACCATAGATACGATTATTCAATTATTGTAATCCATTGGCCAACAGCTGATGAATTTAATTTCAGGTTAATTAGATAAGCTGAGCTCACGTCATGGTTAAGTGGTACGGGTACGGGGGCGAGGGAAAGAAATGTCTGTCTTGAAGAAGTAGTTTTTGGGGACTGAGGAACTTTTAGAACTGCTGTAACCAATTAGTGCACCCTGGACGGCTGGTAGGCCTCAAGGTAGGACTCTGCCTAGGGACCTCATGGAGCAAATATTAGGTTGTGCTGACAGTATCTGCCGGGAACCTCCCTAGAGCGGTTCTGTGTACATCTCCATCCAGCGAAATCTTTTCGTTTGGAACTGTGAAGCATTGGAACGAGATCTGCACAGAACCACTTTGGACGGGTTTCATGGCCAAATAAAAACAAAGATGAAATTTCTTGAACATAATTTTCTCCCGCAAGGGAATGGGTCCCAAATGTGAGTCACTGGGTGCTGCTGTTGGTTGTGTGAACTCGGCTCTCAACAAGAATTAATGAGTTCAGAATTTTTCATAATTTTCCCAATGAAAGACTAAAATGTACTTTAAAAACTGATTACGTATCGCCTTGTTCCCAGACATACCGTACGTCGTTCCCAATGACGTCAAACTTCTGTTCAAAGCCGTACTTTACCAGTTTTCTTACGTATGTGGGTTTAAACTTGAGAAGCCCCTGCACTGCAAATCGGAATCCTTTCAGCTTTGTTAGGTAAGGCTAGCTCTGATAAGATTTTGGCTACTGACGTCATAAGCGTAATGACGTGGGTAATGGAAATTCCAGTGACATATTCCCTATTTCCAATGGAATTCTTGGAAATAGGGACGCAGTCAGACATGGGTGGAAACCTGTAGGGCCTACTGGTATCTTTACATTGGGTCTCAAAGTCTTAGGGGTCTTAGGGGTGTGCAGTGGGACTGGCTGGGACCTCCTATTCTTTGCAGGGACACAATGTCAGAACGAAATTCGAATTTTTACGACAATCCATCTGGTTCTTCAAACTGCTCGTACGCAATCTCAGAAACAGGGAAGCTACCAAGAATGGTTGGGAACCTTTGGATCCGCCTGCTACCCTCAATATTTTCGGGACCAACCAATCTTGGTAGTGTAGGACTGACTGATAGTTCATTTCCGTTTCTACGGAAATTCAGTTCCGTTCTGAATTTTCCACGGTCTTCCATCTTCTATCAGAGCTAGTCCCACGTAACCAATGTCTGTTATTTTACGATCCTCAATAGTTCCAATGTGATCCAATCGATCCTTCGAATTTTACGTGTAAGTCAAGGGCATGGCGCATTCGAGAAAACGGATTTACTACGTCTTACTACGATTTCTCATCACGACAATGCTTTGATTTGGCATGTATATAGTGCAGATAGTGCAAATCTGCTTTTATGTGTTGTTCAAATCTATTTGTGTAAATGTAGGATAAAAGGATGGACAAGGATTTCAGCTGTTTCGCAAGCAGGTCTATTCTGAGGGCAAGTGACTGGCTTAGGGCATTAGAGTAGCGTCATGGTCACGGGTCTAATGACGCAATATGAAGATATAAACACTGCAAGTCGCGAAGGCGATATGGTTTTTGCTTTCCAAGCCATTATCTGGGCCCCCTGATATAGCCGCTACAGATCTGACAGACCACAGCACAAATCAGCTTAGTTCCCGCTTGCGGATGATGTCATTGTTCCCTTTTCCGGAATTCTCACTAATCTCATGAATTCCAAACCAAATGTCGAGCTCGATCAAGTCCTTGAGTCCTTTTGCCGTTCTTGGGGATACGCCTTGCACTCGACTTTCATTCGGGATTGTAGTGGTGGTTTGATTGCGTATGTTAACTATTCAATGACTGGCGTAGCCACCTAATGCAAAAGCCAGTGTTTTATCTTCCCAAACGAGTCTGGTACCAATCAACCGAACAGGAGGAATGAAAGGCTTGGCTCCATAGGCGGATATCGATCCGGGATTCAAACACGTGACCATGTGTGTGGTAGTGCGCCACTTGCCACTTCACCACTACTGCCTGCTGAGCTCGATATCACCAAAACTGGCTACTTCGGTAGTATGCTTCCTTCAAAGGCTGAATGTTTTTAAGAGAAGCGTTCACGATTGGAAGGACGGGACTTTATGACATCCGTTTCTATCTCTGGTGCACCCTCTGTCCTGTTTTGGCAATCGAGTCCCTCTGGTGAAGATCGGCTCTTTCCAAGTCTAATAGGCAAACTTGTCATGGACCAAAACCTCAAATACGGTTCCTTGGACTGTGAATTTTTCATGTGGCGCCTCTAGCCAGTGCGCTGAAGTTTCTCGCCCAACAACGGGATTTAAATCGTCTCAGTGGTATAAAAAAAAAAGGAAAAACAGCTTGTCTTTCCACTTTATGACGTGATTGCGTAGGATATTTTTAATAATTACAATAAGTGAGCAAAACTATCGCTTGTATCGCTTGGCTTATCTGATACTGCTTATTCTCCTCGGCTTACACGAGCATATCCGCTTTGAGGGATGGATCCGCTTAGAGGTGAGCCTAGGTGTTTGTGAAGGAGTGTCGTCAGAGCGTTGGACTTAGGGACTGAGGTAGAAGTAGTATAGATAACAGTGAAGAGTGAGAATCCTTAACTCCGGTTCTATGGACCACCTGAAATCGTGTAAATCACCCGATCTGCTCCCAACAAAGGGTCGGGTAAGAGTGGACCACCAATTCAGCCGATGCCCATTCTCTCTTACCCGTTCACTTCCGCTGCTCCACATCGTTCTGGAGACTGGCATCATAGGGTAGTTCAATGTGGCTGGTTTGTGATGTCTTGGATGGATTAGGAAGTAATCAACTAATGTCGTAACTTCCTGAATCCCCGACACGAATCCATCTCGACATAACAACTACCAGCTTGTCAACAAGCTCTACGTGGCCTTGATGGCCCCGAAACAAATTTAATAAAAAATTCCTGAAATTTTAAGGTTCAGAGATTCAAGCTATCATCAGCCAAGCTGAGGAGGGCAGTTAATTTCAATCTCCCATAGAGTGAAAGGAGACATTTGTTGGGATGATTTGGGCGGTGAGCGATTTTAATCCAAATAGGCCAATCTCGAGAGAACTGATGATTGAAGGCATAGTCCACAAGTGTGGCTACCGGGATTTCATGTTGGACCTCTGGCCCCCCAAGGGTGCTGCATGGGGCGTTGTAGGGCCGAAAACCCGCTCATGTTCGGCAGCAAAGATATTGTGGCTAACTCCTAACACGATTACACACGACTGAAATCTTCCAACAAATCGGTGCTTCCTTCCAATCGTCTCCACAGTATCCAAGTGACGGCGTGTTCGGGGCACACACCGAACTGGTATTTCATGCTGTGCAAAATACTATAATGCGACAATACTATGTACAGATACAGAAATCCCTAGAAATTGAAGTTCAGCTGCAAGTCACCCCGGGAGGGGTTACCGTAACCCTGATGTCCATCCCATAAGCTTGCAACCCTAGCCCGATCTCTGGATTGAGACCGGAAGTGAAATTTCCGGAAGAAAATGTTTTCCACCTCGGAAGCGAGCTTCTTGAAGTACAGGAAGTGGCTGCCTAATGTTGTCTTGCTGGTGGAGACTGAGGTTCTCCGAGTTTTCTGAATAAAGCTCATCTTCACGTAGGGAACTGATGAGTTTGAGGGCCTGAGGCGCTCAATAGGGCCGATCTCAGCAGAACGCGCCATGCATTTTCCTTTCATTCAAAGCCCTAGTAACCTCTACCGGCTTCCCACACCCTATTCAATGATCAGAAGAGCCACCTTATTCACAGAATAACCATTCTACTCCTTGGTACGGGTTTGGGACCGAATAGGAAACATCATGGGATGTGACATCATGTGCTAGGGATAAAAGGCCCTGACTTGGATCGAATCCTGTGCAGGCTCATAGTAAGCGGTGATATTGTCAAAAATATCTTCGCCTACTGTTTGTTACTTTTGTTCTTCGTGGGCGTATTCGATAAGCCGACCTTTGTGGGAGTCTTATCTCTCGACTGTTTTAGAGCTTGATTCCTGGTTTAAAACGATTTGAGCTGATTTGCTTTGCTACAAACATCATCATATTGCGACTGACAGGATTAAGGATTAGTTGTATTGACAAGGAATAATGATAGAATTGACACAAAACATTCAGTAACATAAAAGTAATATAAAGTAGTATAATAATAGTGATAATAATAAAAGTCATCAATAATAAGTAGGCGAGCGCTAGCGGGAACTTGGTAGTATAAGGGATAAGAGCACTTTGCCCGGGTAGCACAAGGAAGAGTTTCGGTCTCTTCAGAGGCCGAAATTTTGCAAATGAGACGTCAATTTTGTGAGATTCGGTTATATGCTTATCGAGAGACAATTGGTTTTGTTGAAATGACCTCCTCTAATCAGTCCCTATCGGTTGATCATGGTTTCCTTGGGCGAACGCCTGCAACGTCTCCATTGCAACGTACCTTTTGCGAGCCAATGCACTCCCAGTAGACAATGCTTGATGGACAAGAGACAAACCATTTTTTTTCGTTAAAAACTTCCATGAACAAGCCTGACAATAGCGCTGGCGACCGTCTAGGTGTTCGTCTGGAGTCTCGGGGAATCCAGCCAGCAATCACTCTCCTAATCATAACATTGCGTGACATGTCCGGCTCACCTGATTTCCGATCCCTCGGCGTGTTTGGCAGCGTCGCTGAACTTCGCTGGTTGGCGGGACCCAAACTTCTGGGCCCCTGGTGTAACGGGAATCTCCCAGTATTGTCTTCAATTGAATGGGGCTGAACCAGTGCTAGCGTGCTTGCCTTCACTCCCTGATGAAGGGATGGTTCACGTAATAGAGAGCCTTTTACGAGCTTCCATCGGTGATATTTTTCAGCCTTTTATGTCTACTTTCTTTCACCTATATCATTATTGATTATCTTATTTTGGTGTATATAAAGATAATTTTTACAACACTTCATTATTTGACTATAGCGCTGCTACGCAATCATTCAGCATGCTTGTTGGTCGAGAGGAAATTTGATATAGGGCGATATTCTAGTAGTATCCAATGTGAGCATAATGCGGCACTATAGACTATAGACATAGAATGGGCATGTGAATCAGGTGACACCCAGGGAACAGGGCTAAGACCCATTGAGGAATGGGTTCGGCACACTGGAAGGAGAACGATCTTCACATCTCTACAATCGGGATCGAGAAGGACCGACTTCTAAAGTTTGGGAGGTTAGATCCGAAANGGGGGGGGGGCAGATGGATAGAAAGGGCAAACATCCTGCCTACAACGTTCTTGAAGTCTCTAAAGTAAACGCCTTCAAGCTCTTTCACTGCGACTTACTCGCATCATCCGTTGATGATTTTCGGAAATCGGAACATATACCTTTGTTTCGCCCTCTATCAACGGTTTGTCGAGAAAGGAATAATACTGTCTGTTGAGAAAAAGGAACTATTGCGATAAAATTGCGAATTAACAGTAATGAACCAGATTCCCGTGCCCCACGTAAGATCGGATAGCGCAATGGACAAAATGGTCAGTGCTAGAAGACCCCTACCCCTATCTATGCGGCAACCGAGCTTTTTATTCTTCCTATATCTCTCAGATGGTGCTAGTCATGACAATGAGAAGACAGGCTTGTACAATGGCAATTTGTAGGCCATACATAACATTTCAGCTGCCATCATGATTCTCAACCGAAGTTGGACGTGCGGCGCACTCCGGATTGCCTGTCCTCTTTGACCTCCAAGACGTTGTTCTTTTCTAGTTCACTAGAAAATAATGAAATTATCTCGGCGAGATGACGGGGACATCCTCCTTCACCCTTCGTTTCCATGGTTTCCTCCTTCGCAACAATTTCGCTAAGTAACTCATTCATAAAAATACTAGTTGTCTCTTTGTTCCGAAGATTAGCGATAGGAGATGAGCTTATCTTTGGCCTTTGTTCGTGTCCGTGACTTTCTCTTATCACCATTCTTGGTGGTAATTTCCTCAACAACGGCAGAACGTTGCCATTAGCAACTTCAAGCCGGGCTTTGATGGCGATTCCATGGAAGCCCTCAACACGTTGCAGCTGATACAATCAGCAACATATTCAAGGAATTCACTCAGCTCCTTGTCATGGTACACAGCAGTAGAAGCCATTCATTGAACAAAGCCGTAAGAGGGGATGTGGAAAGGGGGATTAATCGGATTTCGACTTTGGGAAGAAAAAAGGCCCAGACAAAGTCAGCATTCATGGTCCCAAGAAATTGAGTTCAGCATGACTTATACTTGCCCACAGTCCACCTTGACACGGAAAGGGTGGGCAGATGTGAGTGGGAATTTTTAACTGCTCGTTGGGTTCGGCTCTATCTCGGCATTTTGAGCTCGAGCCTCGTGAAGGGAACCGTTTTTTCCTGTTTTTCGTGGGCTCAGAAGGTGGTCTGAAAAGATTTTGTGAAGGGATCAAGGAAATGGAGCTTTAAGACTGAGGTCCCCTTGACTGATGTCCTGTGGTTCCAGGGTCACTTTGCCGAGGTACTACTGAACTCGCGGGCAGTCCCAAGGAGATTCTCCTTTCAAAATGTACAGGCACACATTTCTTCATATTTCAAGGACAGCTAAATGAGTATAAATAGTAAATAGTAAAACAAATGATTCTATAAAATAAAAGGTAACAGACTTGTTGTGTAGGCTATGGGTAGTGGATGTAGCTGGAAAACTTTGGTTCGGTGCAGGTCAATAAGCCCTATCAATTCGAGTCAAAGCTGATTGCATGGCGCATCTTACGCCTCTTATCAATAGCCTTGACCTTTCGGTTGTAATCCCACACTGAATTTCTCATCTTTATTCCTGCCCGTTAACCTTATATGTCAAAATATTAGATTGCTGGGTCAGCTCTTTAGTGTTTCGACGGTTACCTGCCGGACTATTCTTACGGAACACATTAATCTTGCCTTCGAAGACAATTTTTTACAAAAAAAAGTTCAACCAAACTAGGAGTGACCAGCCTTAAGACTTCTTTTATCAATAACATATTTACCTTACATATTTACCTTTGATGGACCTATAATATCAGCGGCTTCTTATTTCGTACAAGAAAAGAATCCGTACTCTCAAGCCGCAAATTCTGTGCCTTCCGGCATGATTTCCGGGGTTTTTTGCTGATTTCCCAGCTTTTTGCAAAAGCAATCATGTTTTGATTACATCTACAGAGCTTCCCATGATTATTACCAGTCTTCTTATGATGATTGTAATCAAGCGATGATCGTGACCAAGTTCTCACGATAACTCCCATAGCGCCCATGGGAATCGCTAGAATTAGATATTGCGTAGTGGTAGGTTGATAAACAAGACGATTTCTGCAAAATTACGGTATTTACGATGTAATAATCATGCGATGGTGGAGACATCTTAAAAGATTCGTCATTCATACAGCACATCCAAAGAATACAACGAGCAAACCGGGGTGGCGAAATTCATGCTCGAATTCCGCTGCGAATCTTTGATAGTTATCTCGCGGCATCAAACTGCAATTACCGTAACCGTCCAATGGAACCGTACCGCAACCATTCATATCTGGCCCATATATTGCGAGCTCCAATCACCCAAGCGATTTCGGCAACCAGCGCGCACCCTGTTCGGGAATGAATTCTCACATCCAAAAAACTTATAGGCTCGATTTTCTGAGTCATATATTGAGGACTTCTTCTTAAACTTACAGTCCTATTTCAGTTCGAAGCCACACTGGCACGATTCCGACGACGTTACTGTGCAAACTCGTCCATGTACTGTGACTTTGACGATCTGGTCGCGCTGATCGCTGACGGCACAGCGAGTGGTATAGCTTCACATCGCGAGCGATTCGATTATCTTGGATCGTTGTTCTTCTCCGGCACAGTAATTTCAACAATCGGTGAGTTGGACGAGTTGTACTATTCCATGAAATCGGTACCATTTGCTACTTTGGGTGCTTTAAGGTGTAACAGTTGTTCTTCACAAGTCTGCCAAAGTTTTTTTTCTGAGTGTATCCCATTTTTGTAAGCTCCCTGCAGAGACTTTGATCAAGTTTGGCTCCAGTCCTTTAGTGGAAGTGATAAATCGGTAGTCTCCGATTTCCAAAGTGCTTCTGCCTTTTTGTCCTGTACTTGCCGATGGAGAGGCTGAATCCATAGAATTACTCTTACGGGTTTCGTCAGTGACTTCGGTTTTGGTACACAGAGGGTTTCGTGGTTGAAAATCCTTTACCCAGAGGTATTAGGCTCTATTTATGGGACTCAAATATCCGACTAATCATGCCTTCAGTATATTTATAACCACGGGGGCACTTATTTGGATGAGTTATTACTCCATCCGGTCTCATCAAAGGGTTGAGCTGGCTGCGTCAGCAGTAATTGTAGGCTCAGATCAGTTTGAAGAGCAGTGGATAGCCGGTCAGCCATAACTCCTGATTAAATTGGCAACGTCAACAAGAAGGGGGACCACGTTGGAACCTTACGATGGGGAGCTTTTTCCCAGTTGACATTCATAGAAATAGTAATCGGATAGGCTAGTGTAGAGTTAAAGGCAATAGGCAGTTTTCGCAAATGATTGTGGTTTTTTTTAGGGTTTGGCTCATCCACGCCCCGAACGGATGCTGGACGAGTTCTCACGATCATCTATGGCGTGGTCGGTTGTACGAGTTGTGTGTTGTTCTTCAATCTCTTTCTCGAACGATTCGTCACCGCTTTGTCATATTTGCTGAGGTAGGCAAAATATCGATTGGACCCACAGAGTATCGATTGATGTGATTCTTTTAGATATTTTCATGAACGAAAAATACAGCGACGAATGATGAAGAACAGTAATATGAACAAACCAGTCACGTTACTAATCAATAATGAGGACTATTGCGAATCGGCCAGGTTGGTGTAACCATCTACAGCGAGTTCATAAATCAATAACACCGATCGATATTGATTTTTCAGTTCATGTGAAGGAGGAATGGATTCGTGGAGACCTTCAGTGTACAAAGTTTTCTTCTGCCTTTTTAGGTCAGTTGTAAAGTTGACGATACCGTAACCATTTATGGTTTTCCTTAACATTTTTNTTTTTATCTTTCAGTATCTCTGCATTATTGATTAGTACCGCGGCATGGATCTACTCTCATGTTGAGGACTGGGCATATGTTGAGGCGCTGTATTTTTGCTTTATAAGGTAAAATTTGCTAGAACTTTTACTTTTACCTTTAAATTTGCTAAAATAATTGTTATAAAGCTGAATTATTGCTAAGTAATTATACCATTTACAGTTTCGCTACAATCGGTTTTGGTGATTATGTGTCGAATCAAAAAGATGTCACAAAAATCAACGGTGACTTGTATAGGTAGGTCCGCCATTATGAGATTCACATATAAATTAATAAATCTAAATGTAATTTTTATAGATTTCTCAACTTTGCATTGCTCACATTAGGTGCTTGTTGTTTCTACTGTCTTTTCAACGTATCTTCAATAGTTGTACGGTAAGTTGACGATTCCTCCATTTCGAATTGGCCTCTGTTGTGCTGCCATGAAATTCGGCATTGTTTTCAGGCAACTTTTGAACTTTATGATCAAGAAAATGGATGTAAAAGGAACGATTTGTTGTTTGAAAAAGAAACGACGGTACATGGGATTAGGACTGCGGCCGCCTAAAGGTAAGGGTTTCTTCTGAGCTGTGGAGCTTTCTCTTTGTGTCTGAAAATGTTTTGAACAAAATTTTGACCGTGTTTCTATATTTGTTTCAAATAGCATTCATTGCGGTTAATAGAGATTTGGGGACAGCAAACGAAGCTAATTTGCATGTGCCCTTCGAAGTGACTTTTTCTAGGAACTTTACTAGCTCGTTTATGTGAGGTGGTTTTATACCCGAGATGGAATATACCAATTGGACCCTCCTGGAATCATCTTCTTAGGACTTTGGCTGAATCTTGTACGGATTTGAAAAAAATTAAATAATGTAGTAATTCTGAAATGACCGGGAATTTACCAGACTTTTGACAGGCATCGTCTTCAAAAACATGATATTTGCACTGAAACCTAGCGGACATGAGGCGTCTGCTCGATAATCGGTTTCGGTTGAATAGTTTCGTGAAGATTTTCAACATAAAGGATCAAAAGACAGAAACATTATAATCAATTCCCCCTTTGACTTATGCCGTTATGGATCGTAAACTTTTGCAAAAGATCATGTGACAGCTGTCTGGAGGTTGTATGGAGTATTTTCGGAATTGCTTCAGAAAAATGGACTCTGACTGAAAACTGAGACTCAGCGCTCGTTAACTTATCATCTTTTTTTTTCTTTCAATGGGATGATGTACAGGTTATTCTTTCTTGTTCTAGAGTGCCCCTGCCTTTCCTGTTTTTTACGACTCTAGTCAACTTATGCAAAGATGAATAGGTTGAAAGATTTGCACCGAAACTCTGTAATATGTTGATTTACTGGCGAATGGAGAAATCCCCTTGACATTATGGGCTAAGTGATGGGTGGCATTAAAAGTGGTGTTTTCTCAGAATGGATCTGGGTTGAGAATCTGTTATTTATGAATATGGAGATAAATGGGCATAAGTACTCTCCACCCGACTCTGAAAGCTGTCTGTCTGGAACTGAAAGGGAATGCATCGTCTCACTTGAAGGAGTCATATGCCGCCGATGTAATATCAGGGGTGTTCCCGTTCTCTGAAAATTCGAGTCTTCTGCTTGGCTCTATTCAAAATGGTCGAGGTGTTCGAGTGGGAATGCGCATGAACCTTTTAATGATGTTAGGGGAGTAGAGTAGGGCACAGGGTAGAAGGATTCTTGACTTTTTGCGCTTTCTCCATTCTTCCAGCCAACTCAGACAACTGCTTCAGCGATTTGCTGACATCCGGGTTAAGCCTGGTCAACCTATAAGGTAGATTGGTATTTATAAAATTTAGAAATACCATCCACTGGGGATCATGTGGTTTTACTTGAGTGGCAGCAAACTTTAATTATGCTGAAGTACTTTTCATTGTCTAACCATGGAAGTTACCATTTGTTTCTCTTAATTCCTGTCTACTTTTTTTTGGGATACGACACATCGCCTATTATTATTGCGCTGTCATTGCTCTAACTCACTCGTCCTGACCAAGTAACTCATCATCGTCCGTCAGATCATTTAATCCGACTAAACACATAGAAGGTTGAACCAAAGCCATTGAATATAATCAGCGGCCGCGTTACTCCGGGCAACCACAGAATGACTTTCGCCGCAGAATATCATCATTTTTGTCGAGCAACCGTGCGAATTTGTAGCGACGTTTATGGGAGAATCGGTGTTGGGGCTACAAATTAGAAGCTTTTGAAAAGTTGTAGTGGGAGTTCTAAGAAAAGATCAGCCAATTGGTCATGAGAACTTTGAACAGACTGATTCCCGTGGGTGGATTATGGTAATCTCTCATGAGATTCAAGTGTTTGAGAAGAAAGTTCCAGATTTTGACCAAAGTTCGAACTGGCGATGGCTGTCAGCATCCTTGTGGGGGTCAGAACTATGATGTGTAGTCCCCTTCTTGAAACATATATGCTTTGACCAATCTTTTTATGTCTGATCTATTTTTTTATATTTAATGATTCATTCAGAGTAAAGAATTGGTGGGAAGTAAATATTTTCATCTTCTTTTCTTTAAAATCTCCCTTGCGCTAACATAGTCTTTTCAGGTTACGATGAAGCATCCGAGCGTTCATCGGTGGACTATCAGGATGGATTGCTGTCGTTGAAAGAGTTCCTGATGAATAATCAGAGCTCCGTCTTGCTGCTACAGAAACAGCTCATCAAAAGTGCTATGAAGAACGCGAAAGATAATGAAGAGCAGAAGATCTCGGCAACTCGCGTTGGACCGATGGGCATTCTTGATCAGGCTTTTGGAGATGAGAATTAGACTTTCTGAAGGAGAATCCCAGATCTCCATATTCATGGAAAAGGAATCTTCGAGAGTTTGTCAAAAACCTCGAAATAANTGGCGGCACGATTACACTAGAAGAGAGGAGCGACGCGAAGTCTGCAACGCGTCCGCACGCGTGTAACGCCTTTCCACTGAATGTATGGACATGGCTTTTCGTCCTAAACCGTGTTTCTTCTCAAAAATGTATCCCTCATAATAATATTACTTTCAGTAGTAGTCAGCAAATTCAGAGTTGTAATAATTGTATGTTTCACAGCATATTCTGTGTTCTTTTTCTCCAGAGACTATATGTACGTATTATTTCGTGTCTTTGCCATGTATGGGAGAAACGGTACGAGACCCGTGTGATTGCAAAGATACGCGTCGCGTCCGCATGCGTCTCCTATTGTATATCTCATGTGTGTCGTTCTTTACATTTTCCGTTTGTTCTCATCAAATTTTTAGTTTAGTAAGTTATTATTGCGCAAATCTCATGGCATAATGAATTGCTCCTTATCCGCTCTAGAATTCAGGCGGTTTATATTCGTTTATGATCACATTATCGCACACTACTAGTAACGGGTTTCCGATATGCACAATTCATACAGTTTTTCGGTGTACTGTATTGCAATTTTCTTCCAAATGACGGTTCCCTGAACGGATACTGTATTGTATTTGTTTGTAAACCATAATTTATGTTCATATATGTGCCTCAGTGATCAGCGGATACTCCTCTAGCATGTTTCGTCCTTCCTCGTCCCACTGACCAATCGATAATTTGTGCACATTACAGTTTTAGTCAGTATAGTGAATAATTTTGAAGATAAAGTTTTCAATAAAAGTTTATTGTACCTATTCTGCTTTAAAAAACATCATAAAACTTTCTCTAAAGATGAATGGTTAAAGTACCATCACCATACCTTTGCCAACTGTCTAGAACAGGAGTAGCTCAGTGGTTCAAGGCGCCGCATAGATACGACAGTCTTATACATCGACATAAACCTGAAGCCAAGTTCTCAAAAATCGTCTTACTACTGTAAGGCCTATCGTGAAAAACAAAAACCGGTCCAAGTGCTGTTTGGAGCTGAGTATTATTGGGTAGAAGTCATTCTTCAGTCACAGAACCCAATCAACCTCTGCTATTGTGGGTGAGAGCTGAATGCGCTGCAAATACTGGGCGAACTCTCATTGCGAAATCATTTGGGATTTTTCTAGCTAAATAGCTCATGAGTATAAATAATAAACAAATGACAGGAGTCGATCAATACAAATTTGAATCATCATGGGAAATTTTTCATTCTTTTTCATATGCCTGGAGGGCATACAGCATATTATATTTTGCTTGCGTTCTTCACCTATACAGTAAACTCTAATGGGACGTATAGATCTGTGCTTGAAATATATTTCCCACGTAAGGCTGTGATGCGATTCAGACCACCGGGAAGGCTGAAATGATCAGTTGCCATGAACGAGTTTAGTTTCACGTCATCTTTTTCCTGCATAATTTAGCGGCTCCGCTTAGCGCTACTCCATCTCCGTGTAGTCTGGATTATCAGGGAAAAGGTATCATATACGCGTAAAATCAATTCTAACCTCTTATACTAGCAATTCAGCAGAATATGTAAGAGAAGCAACAATAACTCAGTCAAACGTAAGGATAAAATTCTTGACGTCAATCAATCCCGTTTTCGGGATGCGCCCCGCATTCGACTCTCATTCGGGATCGTAGGGGTTTTGAATGCGCATGTGTCTTATACAGTGACTTGCGTGGCCAACCGATTTACAGGCCATTGCTTTCATGTCCACTCACGGATAAACGGTTGGCGTGATCCGATCCCCTGGGGAGGGGGGGGGGGGGGGGGGGGGGGGNGCACAAACTCGAAGTGTAGTAGTTTAGTAGGGTCAGATGATCCTTCTAACCTACTCTATTTCGAGTCGAGTTTGGGCCCCAATGATAGAAGCTAAAGTTGTTCAAATCGTTACGAACTTCGCCGCGCAATTTGCCGCGCGCGTCCTCGGACACACGTTCGTCCACATACCCAATCCCCCGACCATGCCAAGGTAGCGCGTTACTTCCAACCTAAGCAGGTATCCACTTACGAAGGCCAAATTGACTAACGTCTACTATAGTACTTCCTTTCCTTCAATTTCGAACTTTCCTTCATCAATGGTCGCGATCACCCTATACTCATTATGAACCAATTATGATTCAGCTTAATTTTCTCTTCATTAGCGAAATTAGAGTGCTAACGCATTGGAATCGTCTCGATGAAACCAATTGTGGTGTTGCCCACCGTAATCTAACGATACGGTAACCGTAGACGTCGATTTTGGTTCACTACAGTCGGCACGTTTCATATCACGCCTGCTGTCGCTACACGAGGCTCGGTTAGTTCAATATACTTTTTTATGTTGAATTATTAGCTTGTTTCATGAATTGTACTCAGAAAAAAGTATTCTCAGTAGATCTTCTTTTAGATCTCTCTAAATCAATGGAACTGGCTCAGTATTATTATGATCCATACAATAAGGAGAGTAGTGCTGTAACAATCTGCGATGCTAATATCACCGAATATCTTAGCAGGAAGCATTCCGTCCTACATGTTTGCTTTTTAGTAGGTGGAAATAGTCTTTGTTCCGTTTTTTTTTTCTATATTTTTATATACCTCTGAGATAACTACACCTAATGAGTTTTTATTTTGACTTCTTGATTGTCCTTCATTCCATGTGCTATTTTATTTCCAAGAAATCCTTTTCATAGAAATATCGTGTTTTTAAAAGCCCCATACAATCCTGTCCTTATCCTGTAGTCAGAGGGTTTTTCTGGAGCTCAACTTTACAGATGAAGCTCTTGTCCTACCCCTTACTCTGCATATAACAAACCCTACCAGCAGAAAAATCGAAATCGAGCGGCAAATTAGGAGTAGAATCGAATGGCCTATTGAATAGGGTAGATTACTAGAAGATGTTGAATGAAAACGAATAGGGCACTGAGCTTTTGTTGACCACCTGTCCAATTCTTGCTCATTTTCGCTTTTGACATATCTATTTTTTCGAGAAAAACCTTCGACGCGTTCCAATAATTGGGTTTGTCTCCTACAACTACGACGATGTGTGGGAAATCGATTTTGGTCAACTGAAGAACTTCTACTCTCCTATCAAGTAGGTGTGCTTAGAGCTAAGATTGATATGATTCTCAAAAGCCCATGGGTCTCAATCAAATCTCTTATTTTTAATCTTAATCTTGTTAATCTTATTTTTAGTTTCTTTGGGAAGGCAACGGATGCAAAATGGCTTGGGAAAGACATTGCTACGGGAGATGTCGTTCAAATTGAGTTCAAGATCTGTGCAGACGTTCTGTATTTCAGGTAGGATTCATTGACGTACTCATTAGTTCGTAGTGGCCCTGCTGATGCAGACTAGTGATCAGTAACATTTTGTCAATGTGAACCGGTTTCGAGTAGTCTCTAGCCCTTGTATATTATTTAGCCGCCAAAGGAAGCTTATGGCTCAATAACATGCAAAGGATGGGTGATAAAAGACTGTCAGTGTTGTTCATAAGGGAGGTTGTTACAATTTTGGGTGCTACAACATAACATGCATCAATGGGGAATATCTACAGATTCACAATTTCGAAATAAATATAATCGTTCACATTAATTGATATGAAGACTGCTTTCCTCGTGTTCTAGATTGGGCAAAGATAGGAAACATTGGACATGCCCTCTTCGTACTCGATTCGACCCATCAATAAAGGTTTCCCTCGTCGTAGAGACACCTAAGGTGAGTCCTTTTGACTTATTGAAGACAATTGACCAAGGAGCGTTTCTCATCCGCTGTTGTGTCATTTACGTTGTTCAGAAGAATTTTGTCGTGTTGCGGGACGACTTGTATCTCGACTATGTATTGAATGGTAATCCTCGAACTTTCCGCACATGCACCAGCTGTTACGAGGAGGATGACAAAAATCGGGTACGTCTTTACTGAAGCGTGGAATTGACTCCTTTTCAGCTTTGATTTTTCGTAGAGTTTTCTTGGCATATCACGTGTACCAGTTTATAAAGAGCTGTATTATCGAGGGAATCAGAGGCTGCTCGTGAAGTTGTGGTCGTTATTTCAACCCCACCAGTAGCAGTGATCTTTCGGCATGTGCATACTAAAACTCTTACTGCAACATAAAGTACTGCATATTTAAAACCCGTTTTGGTCCTGTAGGTGTTTGAGGTAGTGGTTAGATGAGCATTGTCAAGCGATTGTCCAAAGAACCGTTTTAGTTGATCATTGATCATTTTCATCCAGTCTTTTCTGAAAGTTGCTCAGAATAGTATGTTATTTGTCATGACTTTCAGATTGTAGTAGCGGAATGTGGACACTACATGTGTTCAAACTGTTGGAAGAAATGGGTTAGATCTAAACCGATGTCGAATTGCTGGGTCTGCTCCAAAACGAGTAAGTTTTTTGGAAAACGGCACCACCTGTTGTGATATTGCATGAGTCCTGTATTCTAGTTGAGCGTTATGTATATGCGAGGTTTCGAGATAGTCCATGTCCAGTGGATCACTGTCGTTCTGGAGATACTCCAAGGGACTACGTTCTTGTGCCATGCGGGTGAGCATTGTGGCTTACTGTTTTTTTTTTCTTTGCAGAGCAGGATCCTTCTTGCATACACTCACAGTTTTCCTCGAAAAACATTTTTCTATCACACATGAAAAGTGGTCCAGCTGTTGTTAGAACAGTCATTGACGGTTGCTGTGGCTAGTTGACAATGATAGCTGTTTTCCACTCGTCACTGACTGGTAGAAAGGGAACTGACCACACTTACCAAAAAGGGAGGTGATAGTATGTTAGTAAGAAGAAACTCAGGAAAATTGTCACTGACGAGTCAATAAGGATAATAGGAGTAGGCGCTGTTGGGTGAGCGCTCCTGTTAAAGACATCCTTATGCAACTTGTTAATCCTTAGTTTCCAAGCGCCTCTACCCCGTTCCCTTCCAATGAGACTATAATCAACAAGGTTTCTGAGCACTTTGTTTGAAATCTTCATTTTAGAGAGCAAGTAGATATAAACTTTTATAACTGTTCATATTGTTGGCTTCAGACTGACTTTCGATTTCATGAAAGGAGGTTTCATTCGATTCTTTTCGGTTTCTGCTGAAGCACCGGTAGAACTTGCCTGGTATTCAGTAGCAGTGTGTATTTTTGTAAAGCAAAAAAGCTGGTGTGAGCCGTGATAGTCTCATCCTTGCTTCAGTATAGACTTTGCTATCAAAAGTGGGACAAACGAGAGCTTTCGCACCGTTTTGTTTTGTTTATCATCTAATTTATTTGTAACTTTAAGTAGTTGTGGCGAATTTAATCGCTTACATTTTAGATGTGTGACGCGCTGTGTTATGAAAAGCAGCGATGGTACGAAGACCATCTGCCCGTATGAGGTGTGCGGCAGATCAGTTGAGGCGCAATGGCCTCTCTATGGACATTAATGCATTGGGTCTCCGTGGTGCCAATGCATCCTGAAGCCGAAAAGAGGCATGGATACGAAGGACGTACAGATCCACGAGCTGTTTGTCCTCTTCTGCAATGAACATGATTCCCAGGGTTTACAGAAGTGTCTTCAGACATATTGCTTGTATACATTCCTGAAGTGATACTGATTTGCTCATTACACTGCTGTCGTTTTTTTTTCATTCCCATCTCAAATTATTATACTTTGGAATAAAAGAACATAGCTTGAAGGTAATATTGTTGAATAAAATAACTCAATCGTGAGTTTTCGGTATCACTTTGGTTCTCCCGTTTATAGAGCTTTCAAAATCACTTCAATCCAGATGGACGGCGTGAATTCGAAACAAAAATGCGGCTACCCACTTTATCAACTTTGTAGTAAACCCGCACACGAGTCTGAAACCAATCTCGTCCACTGAAACGATTAACTTGGCAAGATCCATGTATACGCTCTATTATAAAGATTTATCAGATTAGAAGGTTTTTAACGTCCCGTGAATGTGTGACACCGTAAATCCCTAGTACCGGGCAAGCCTCTCCCGTGGGCTTCACTCGGTGTGCCTTTCCTTTGCGTCGTATATGTGACGGATGTTTTGGAGGCGTTCAGTGTGTTTGAGTTACTGTGTCACATATTCACGGGACGATTAAATCCGTCTTGTTTTATCAGCGTTCATACCTTGACGCTGGCCCCCGTCGACTCTAAACCTCAGCAAAACACTGAGTTCCTCACCACTTACACACACACGATGTCGGTTTCTATTCAGAAGTGAAGACCCTGAAGATTTAGAACAACATTAAACACCTCCATCGCAATGTACAAATAAACACTCCCCTCTCACCCCCCCCCCCCCCCCCCCCCCCCCCCCCCTTCACCCCCTCACCGACGCCCGAAAGACGGTTCGTGGACCCTTGCAAAAAGACGTATTTCATCGTGTGGGGACCGCAATTGCGACCAATTCGTTTGTAATACCGTTTCCATGACGAAAATGTTTTGTGCCACCGAACCGAGCTCGAGATGTCGTCGACGGATGGCTGCCGCTTGCATCAGACATTTTGATCACGAAAATGTCATCAGCACCACGTCTACTGGCGTCAGCCGCCCGATGGCCGCTCAAGAAAAAGGTATTTTTTGTGACTTTCCCCTGGTTAGGTGTTTTTCCCCGATTGAATTCCTTTTCGACTATTTTCTCATGAGCAATTCATATACTAGTTCTCATATCTTTTTTTTTGCTCCTATAATGTTCCATTAAACATTTGATTTATTTACTTAATTTCAGATTTTTGTATATGGGGGATCAACAATACTTCTCGGTAGTGGAGCAGCTATTTATCGAGCTGTGGATTCATTTGAAGACCTAAAGCAAGTGGGACTTATTCGATTCGGCAGAGCAGCAATCGCTGTGAGTCTGTTTCTATTCTTCGAGGTTTGCAAGCTTTCCAAAAATGTAAAGTACCCGATGCATTTCACGGATAAAAGGGACATCATCTGTAGGAACGACTTCTCGAAGAACTTCTGAATGCAGACCTTTGTCCATCTATTCCTACGCGCTTTTTCTTGGGAGGACCAATTTTTTTGGACAATGTACGGAAAAAATCTATTGGGATTTCGTCGGCCTTTGAAATCAAGATGTAGCAATCAAACATGAGTTCATGTCTCCCTGCCGCTTTATGTGTGTTCTGTCGCTTCGCGTTTTTGAAAGTAAAGTACCCGATGCAAGTGAAAATGATTTCGAAAGTTTTCCGCAAATTTCTTCGATCGGATGCCGAGGGGACTTTTTCTGCGCTTTCGCTGTTGCTTTAACACGAGCGAGATATGGTTGGTCAGTCATTCTTCTGGCCCTTCTCCTTTCCGAAATGCAAATCCCTACCTCTGAATTAATGATTTCAGGTTGGAAACATTGTTATTGATTACAAATCCTCGCTAAGAGGTCTCTACGACCCATCTGAGGAGTACAATGTTGCGATAAAGGGGTGTCATAAACGAAGTGCCTCACGGTTACTTGATCTAGCTTGTGCCAACGGTGGAGTATTCATAAAGGTTGTTTTTTGATCTCTTTTTAATCCTATTTCACATAAATGACGTATTTTCTTGTTGCATTTTGGCCTCTTTTTTGCTACATGTTTGCCTTCTGAATCGCCCTTCACGAATAGCACATCATTTCATACATTTTATTCGCATTTAGGTAGGGCAGCACTTATCAGCTTTGGAGTATTTGATACCAGAAGAATACACTTCTACGCTCTCTGTATTGACTTCAAAAGCTCCGGAGGCAACGTATGATGACGTTGTTTATGTTGTTGAGTCGCAGCTGGGAAAGAAGGTGATTTATTTGACGCTTTTTGCTTTGACGAAGCGACTTCATAATAACATTCTCAATGCTATTCATAGGCCGACCAGCAGAGCAGTTGTGAGCTATTTACGTATATAATCACCTATTTATTCAGATTGACGAGGTCTTCTCAGAGTTCGCAGAAAAACCAATCGGTGCCGCCAGTCTCGCACAAGTGCATATCGCGAAACTGAAGGTGATATCTGATCAACTTCTCCAATCATTTGACTTTTTATTTTTGAACGTTTAAGGAAACGAACGAGAAGGTTGCTGTGAAAGTGCAACATCGTCGAGTGTACAAAAACAGTCGTACGGACATCAATACTATGGATGTGAGTGAACCAATTCGCCTAGTGATCGACTTGTTCGAGAGCGTAATAGGTTAGAGTGCTGGTCCAAATTTAAGCGATATCCCGAAGCCCTCGCGAATCTAACAGGTTAAAACATTGACTCAATACAACAGGATTAGGTTGTCCGCTTTTACAGCTCACCAATTCGGCTGTTTTTGCCATTTTATACCCTTTCTCGAAATTTTCATTTTTAAATGGGATTATTTCCTCGTATCTCTTCCAAATGTTCTTGCCCTTTTAAATGCATCACCTTCTCTTTATACCTACATCCCTCACTTGTTTTTATTGATTTGTGGTTTTATAATTGAACAAGCATTCATCGATTCAAAATGAGAGTTGTGTGGTGTATGGAGTGATTTTATTATTTCTTCATTCCTCTTTACTATTTTTCACAGTAACTTTTTCAAAACCACATAATTTCAGTTCTTAGTGAAAGTTGCTGATAAGCTATTCCCGGAGTTCAAACTTATGTGGTTAGTTGATGAGGTGAAGAAGAACCTTCCACACGAACTCGATTTCCTAATGGAAGCAAAAAATGGTGATCGACTGGCGGAAATGTTCAAACATCTCAAATTCTTGAAGGTAAATTGGTNTTTATTTTCGGTCGTATAGAGCCAAATGAGTTTATCTAGTGATGTGATGACAATATATTTTTTACAGATACCCAAAATGTATTATGAGTACAGTACACCTCGCGTGCTTGTAATGGAGTTCTGTGAAGGCGAACATATCGATAATATTAAGTACATGATCGACAACAAGATCAATCGGCACGATGTAAGCTTTTCAGTTTGAATACTTTCATTTTTGGTTGAAACCTTCACCGCCGTATAATGATTGTTTTGTCAACTTTTGAGTTTATTACGTATCACTTTTTGATGAGAAAAATTCTTATGGAATAGCATATTCTAGCGCTATACAGTCGTTTGAACCGTGAAAAACGGAAACTTATTGGCTAGACCTCTACCAAGGAGTGATTCATAAACCTTCCACCAAAAACATATTTGTGTTCAATTTACTGCTTGGTGAGTTAGTGCTACAGGAGGGAACTTCCGTAGCGCTAACTCACCAATCTGAATCCTCTGATTGTGGGACTAGTTCTGCAAAGTAATGAAAAAATCTGTAGGTGATTGATTATTGGTCATACAACGAGCAGTAAATGCCATAATTATGTTCACTCAATGACCGAATGTTGCTGCGTTGGTATGAAAGCTATTGTATTTACTCATAGCGGATTATGACTGTTTACTCAAAGGTCGTACGGAAAACACGAGATTTCAAAATGATGGATCTTCTGTTGAAAAGAAACTGGAAAACACTGTTCCTTGCATTAAGAGAATGACGAAAAAAGGTCCTGCAGGGTAACAGAGCTCGGTGGTCAGAACCCCTTCATCGTGAGTGTTTTTGAGACGAAATAGAGTCCTCGGAACTTTGCTACGAAGCGGCCACATAATCGACCTAGTCCCTAGACGTCCTGTGATTTTAACTTACCATATTTTCCAGTCATTCGAAATTTTCTTCTGACAGTTTTCTCTATTCATCGAAATGTTGAAGAGTGCTTTTTGGTGATATTGTCAAATTTTCGTGGACTTGTTCTTAGGTGTGCCGGAAGATGGGTCGACTATATTCTGAGATGATTTTCATCAACGGCTATCTTCATTCCGATCCTCATCCGGGCAATGTACTCGTTAATAAAAAGGCGAACGGCGACGTCGACATTGTCCTGCTCGATCACGGCCTTTACTTAGTAAGCATTGTATTCAGAGATAATGAACCGATGTCAACCACTGAAATTTCTCCTTTTGCTTTATAGGACATCGGTGATCACTTTAGAGGGCTCTACGCAGACTTGTGGCTCGCTCTCTTAGCTCCTGATCCGGATAAGCTCAGAGTAAGTGAATCTCTAATATTTTTCCCTTTAACTATTTGCTTTTCCATTTGTCATTCAGCATCACTAGAAATAGCGGACAAATATAATATCCCTTTTTCCATTCACTACAATCTTTCTAGAGTGTAGCGGCTGAGATGGGTGTTGGTGAGCTTTACGGCTTGTTCGCATGCATTGTAGCTCGGCGGTCATGGAAAGCTGTATCTCAGGGCATCAAGAATAGGAAAATGGATACCAATGAGGTAAATTCGAGATGTTTCAGTGTGATACTTTCAGTTCGTTCTTTGACTTGTACACTGATCTCGCACGATTTAGAATGGGCATCTTGAAGTGCTTTTCGTGACTGGATTCTAGAGGGATTCTAGTGCGTGTTCCAGAGTAATTTGATAGTCTCCAATTCCTCGAAAGTGTTGGCATTTGCGTTCTGTTTTATTGCTTCCTCAAAGTACTGAAACACACGTGACGCTCTATGAAGCCAGAGAAGAGTTTGTAACCAAGTTGCTGCACGCTTGCGGCAACTTGATGACTTTATAGAAACGGTCGAAACTGGGTTTAGTGAGAGGCTTGAGAACGCTTCTAATGTGTTTTCAGAGAAATGAACTTCGTCTCTATGCCGCGTCGCTCATTCCACAAATCAGCGAGGTCCTACATAGGATGCCTCGTGAAATGCTCCTGATTCTGAAGACCAACGACTTGCTAAGGAACCTTGAGCACGTACTAGGAATTGAAAATCGCGCTGATTCGCATATTGAGGTGGGCGCTCGGTTATTTTTTGTTTTCACCATTTGACGCCAGTTGGTTTTCCAGAAAATGATTGCGGTAATACTATTAGAGATAATCAGTGCTAGAAATGTAACACATAATGTTCCGTCTGACATTCGTTCAACACTACGTGAAAGCGGTTTCAAGGTGCTTCCTAAGGCGCTAGAAATTTGGCTGCTTACTTGGCTGGTTACTTGTCCGCTTATACTCCAGCCAAAACTGTGTTCGTAATAGCTAACGATGATTAAGTCGTTGGCATCGAAGTCAAAATACTATGATTGATGACCCCTCCCTTCAGTGCAAAACAAGTCTGCTTGGTTGCTTTTTTTCTATTTTCAGCGGTTTACCTATATTCGGCTGTACACACTTTATCTTTTTTCTAAATCAGGATTTTTAGCAATTTTTAGAACTACCAGTTGGGCTATGCACGCTAATGCGTGCACCACATGCCCTTTACCGCTTACCTACGACTTGTTAGAGGACCAATATGAACAGTATTTGTTGACTTCCCATTTCATAACTGTTTCCTCACCACGTTCACGTGACATTCACCCTTTTCGTCGGCCTACGTAACTTTCAGGAGGACGCACAAACGGGCATACAAACAGTCGCACAAATGTACCGCTTTTTACTAGAGGCAGTCGTACCGCCCGGCTCAAGCTGGGCTTACCTCCTTCTTATGATAAAGTTGTGATAAACGGCAAACAGCAACCCCTTTGGAATGAATTATGCTCTTCGGAACACGAAGTTCGACAGAGGAACAATAGGCAAACGATATCCAAAATGTGCCGCTGCCTATGCCCTTGATTAGGATCTGTCTGTCTCGGTCTGTCGCTGTTGATGTCAAATGTAATGATCCATTGAAGATTTACCTGATAGGCATCCAAGGCCTTGAATGGTACTCACAAATGTTGTCGAGTCATAATAATACCATTATCGAATGTCTTTATGGATGTGGCCCCTTTACTCTACGG